AAGACCAATAAAAAAAACATTTTTAGTGAATTGTTGGCCTTCTGGAAAGTATGTTCATTTACTGTACATGTACTCAATACTTGGTAGGGGCTCCTTTTGCTTTAATTACTGCCTCAATTCGGCGTGGCATGGAGGTGATCAGTTTGTGGCACTGCTGAGGTGGTATGGAAGCCCAGGTTTCTTTGACAGTGGCCTTCAGCTCATCTGCATTTTTTGGTCTCTTGTTTCTCATTTTCCTCTTGACAATACCTCATAGATTCTCTATGGGGTTCAGGTCTGGTGAGTTTGCTGGCCAGTCAAGCACACCAACACCATGGTCATTTAACCAACTTTTGGTGCTTTTGGCAGTGTGGGCCGGTGCCAAATCCTGCTGGAAAATGAAATTAGCATCTTCAAAAAGCTGGTCAGCAGAAGGAAGCGTGAAGTGCTCCAAAATTTCTTGGTAAACGGGTGCAGTGACGTTGGTTTTCAAAAAACACAATGGACCAACACCAGCAGATGACATTGCACCCCAAATCATCACAGACTGTGGAAACTTAACACTGGACTTCAAGCAACTTGGGCTATGAGCTTCTCCATCCTTCCTCCAGACTCTAGGACCTTGGTTTCCAAATGAAATACAAAACTTGCTCTCATCTGAAAAGAGGACTTTGGACCACTGGGCAACAGTCCAGTTCTTCTTCTCCTTAGCCCAGGTAAGACGCCTCTGACGTTGACTGTGGTTCAGGAGTGGCTTAACAAGAGGAATACGACAACTGTAGCCAAATTCCTTGACACATCTGTGTGTGGTGGCTCTTGATACCTTGACCCCAGCCTCAGTCCATTCCTTGTGAAGTTCACTCAAATTCTTGAATCGATTTTGCTTGACAATCCTCATAAGGCTGCGGTTCTCTCGGTTGGTTGTGCATCTTTGTCTTCCACACTTTTTCCTTCCGCTCAACTTTCTGTTAACATGCTTGGATACAGCACTCTGTGAACAGCCAGCTTCTTTGGCAATGAATGTTTGTGGCTTACCCTCCTTGTGAAGGGTGTCAATGATTGTCTTCTGGACAACTGTCAGATCAGCAGTCTTCCCCATGATTGTGTAGCCTAGTGAACCAAACTGAGAGACCATTTTGAAGGCTCAGGAAACCTTTGCAGGTGTTTTGAGTTGATTAGCTGATTGGCATGTCACCATATTCTAATTTGTTGAGAGAGTGAATTGGTGGGTTTTGTTAAATGTGAGCCAAAAATCATCACAATTAAAAGAATCAAAGATTTAAACTACTCCAGTCTGTGTACATTGAATTTATTTAATACACGAGTTTCACAATTGGAGTTCAATTAGTGAAATAAATGACCTTTTCCACAACATTCTAATTTATTGAGATGCACCTGTAAGTACACAAGTCAGCAAAATATATAACACTGTTCTAGTGGTTTTTGGATATTTTAATAAAAAAATCTTACATATTGTGCCTTTAAAGGTATTCTAAATGTAAAAATGGGAAATGAGCATGCACAATAAAATATCCAATATCTTGTGATAATCAATCAGTTTAAAAAATCTTGTCCAATATGATACTGATATATTGTGCATCCCTACAAATAGTATAAAACAAAAAGCAATTATTTGTTTATAACCAAGTTAATATTCACAAACAATGGCTTTGTCATTTCATAACGTCACAACTAGTCTATGTGTGTGATTATAAATATGTGCCAAACAAAAGAGACTGATATTTTTTTATCCTAGTTTTGAAATGACTCAAACCGTGATATAAGATTTTGATCATACCGCTCACCTTATGGCAGTGTACTCTGGTTCAGACCAAAAAAATCAAACCAAGTGTGAAAACAGCCTCAATCGCATGTGTAGCTCCACTGGTCAGCAAAAGTGCAAAGCTAGAAAGCAATCAGGTCTCATCATTTCCCATAAACAAACAGCCTATTCTACCATTACAATTATTTACCGTATATTAATGGTCTGCGCCGGTCTTATAAAGTGACAGTGAATGGATGGTAGGAGAGATAATCAGAACAGAAATGAGAGGTCGTGCAACTGAAAGGATTGAATTTATTTCCTTATGAAATTAACTCTTCATGAAACCAATACTCAGGAACTCACACAAAACAGACACCATGCAATAAAACAATAAAACTTATCTGGAGAAGAAATCTTCAAAGAGAGCAAACAACGCCTCTCTCCTCGCCCATTTACGACCCCCTTCTCCCCCTGGCCTCTCTGCCTCTCCCTCTTTTCCCCCAAAAGGTTTCACCCAAAGTTCATTAAGAATATGCATATCCCACAGATCATGTATCTTGTGAACCTGTTGTTTTTCCCCTTCATGTTTAGTGTCATTTTAAAGGTCTTTGTGCGATTGGTAAATTGGTTTCAATTTCAAAGTAGTCATTTATATTGTGAGAAAGACTTAACACTTTTGTAGAATTGTGTTGTGTTGAGGAGGGGGTGTGTCCCCCTTTAGGGGTCTGTGAGAATGTTTCCAGCCGGGTGTGACCCTGGATCACAGAAACTAACAAACAAAAGGTCTTTTATGTTTTTACAACTGATTTAAAGATTTCTCTGTCTTTGTTCTGGTAGTATTTAAGGGAAAGTTGCAAATCAGTCAGGGCGATTCTGTAGCCAGAAAGCCCGTAGTGTGAAGGTGTCCACAAAATTCACACTATGTATTTTTCACACGAAGTCAGGTATGCATCTTACTCTTAGATTTGTCTTTGAGAATTTGATGTCTTGTATTGATTTAATATCTTTGAATTGTCTATGTAATTGGCATAATACATATTTACCTGACTGATAATAAATTGTTATATTTGATTTATTCTGAACTCTCCTAAAATCATTATGACTAGTAAACTGTGAGGAGGCTTTTGTTACCGCAAATCTACGGCCAGGATAGGTCAAACTGAAGGCTTGTGAATGATAGGAGCAGTAGGCACGTCATCGGAGACCTTCTGATTTCTGTCTATCGCCGATGTTACCAAGTTGTACGGGAAAGGACTAAGTGAATTACACTTTTTGTAATAAGCAAGCAGTAGGCGGCAGGCAAAATAGGTATTAGTCTACCTACACCCTCTGACTAGCATCAGACTGGCGAGTTTGTGACCGTAAGATCCACGTAAGGCCAGCGTGAGACTTGAAAGAGACATTAGGTCCCCAGTGAACGGATAAGTGAAAGTATAGTGAGTCAGGAATAATCGAATATCTAAATTAATATTTGTGATCATTAAAGTTAGGCAATATTTCTAATTAAAAACTGATCACGTGAAATTGGAGTCAGATTGAACGCGGAGCTAGACAAAATTGAAATTAAGTCCTGATAAATTCAGAAGCGCAAGTAAAAGACCGGATACGCATTAAACCTTCAACCAGGCCGCTGGATTCCGCTTTTTGGGCTGGCGGGGGGATCCTTACACAGCCCTTTGAACAACAGAACCACATGATGGACTATCACAGAAAAATCGATTGCATGGCTCCGCGCTCACGGATTTGTCTCTGGGCTCAGGAACAACCTGTCTGTGATGGAAAAAGATCTTGAGGGGTTTGATCCTCTGCTCGTGATATTCTGTGCTACCCCACTTCTGTCCCATGAGCCTAGGGTATATGCATAGACAGGGTGCAGGGACGAGTATCAGTGTGAGAGAGATCCTCAGAGGAGACCCCATCCAAACCAATGCTTTCCACCACACCGCTCCTGTCAACCACAGCAGAGAGCCCAGCAGGGGCAGTTTCTCTAAATGTAAAACATCCTCCCATCAACTCATGCTTCTGCTAAGGCAGGCATATATTTGTACAAACCATTCTTCTTACATGATCCTTCAGAAATCATTCTAAAATGCTGATTTGCTGCTCAATCTGCAGTAGTGCTGCTTAATATTTAAGTGGAAACAGTGATTAACTTTTTTTCAGGATTGCTTGATGAATAGAAAATTACAAAACAGCATTTATTTAAAATAGAAACCTTTTAGAATATTATATGCCTTAACTGTCCCCTCAGTCCTTGCTGAATAATTCAATTCAATTCAAGTTTATTTGTATAGCGCTTTTTACGATACAGAAAATTAAGTTTCTACAATATTTAGTAGTATCTTATCAGTGGTGACTGTCAGTTTGTGTACAAGAATGAATGTACTATTTATGAATAAAATAATAAATATTACTGACCTCAAACTTTTGAACGGTAGTATATTTACAATAATTATAAAATATCAAAAATATTTGAACAATCATTTTGAGTTTAATAATAGATAATAAATGATTTACTAATAATGTATTATTTAATAATAAACCATATTACAAAAGTTCAAATAGCTTCACATAGCCAGGACTACTGCGTCCAAAAATTGGCCATCTAGACAGGAAGGCTCTGTCCTAAAATGTAATTTTCTGTGATATTTAAGGTGGGTAAATGTAAAACTCTTTAGGAGTATATAAAAATACTGGCTATTTTTTTTTTTCTTTCAAATTTGAACCTGACAAACCTGACATTAACCTGGCAAACTTTGACAACAGTGACTATGCAACACACATCAGACGTTGCATATACAGTCTGTGGTTGGCCCATATGAGGCTAAGACTAGGTCTTTCTAATTTTAAGGGAAAACATTTATTTGCAAGCTGAAAGCTAACACTGGCAGCCCATCTGCTGGTTCTGCCCAATACTGGGGGGCCTGGGGGGTGATAATCCTGATTTAATGAACTCAACATGTGCCAGTTACCTTTCATCCTCTCTCTCTTTTTAGCCCCGTAAGTCATGATGCATGCATTTATAAATGAAGGGGAGAGGGGAAAGTTTCTGACTCTTGTTGACTGATCAAAATGTTTTCACACACAATTTCACGCTTTCTGGCCACTGCCCAAGACTTTACACACTTTCTGGCCACTGCCCAACACTTTACACACTCACAGCGCTTACAACTGCATGCTGTTAGGATTGTGCTAAATGGGAAATAAAATATTAATCCCTCAATCACCTTCAGAAATTGAAAACGGGCAAACTTACCATTTTATTATTGATTTCGTGAAAATGAATTTCACAGACTTTCTCTACAATGTCTTCATTCTCAAACGTTACGAAGCCGAAGCCTGTGGAAAGAGAGACAGAAACAGAGGAAGAGTCAGTCGTGTACCTTTTGAACTCAAACTCCGACAGATTTCGGCCTCCGTCAGAGGAGAGAGTGTGGGGAGTTCAGATCTGAACAGACATTGTCTTTTTGAAAGCCGCTGATGAAATCTCTCTCACAACTGGGCAGACAAGGGGGAAATCGGACAGCAGAAAAGCACAAAGACTGTTAATGAGATTCATAGAGCCACATCTGAATTTCATTAAATGCGTTCTGCGGTGCCTTCATTGAAATTTCACCGTATAACAAGCTCCCGTTTTAATGTAAATGCGGGGCTGGAGATCCCTGAATCAGTCTCTGACCGTGGGATTGTCTTCTTTTTTCAATATTTATGAAATAAGAAGTTTAACCCTTTCAGTTCATCCAGGCTTAACAAGGATTTGTCTGTGCTTTTATTATAATGAGAGAAAGAGTAATGCTTTTCACTGCCGCCGAATCTGCGACTCACTAGGGGAAATGATTTTCTATTCCTAGGTGTTAAGAGGAGGCCAACGGTGAGAACACAAAGGAAAACAACCAGAGAGGACGATAAACACTTTACTCACTGTTTGTTTATAAAGACAGGATGCTCTTTCAGTCGCACAACACACACAAACACCATTCTGATCATTTCACAAGAGCTGTGTGCTAGAGACTCGCAGAAAAGTGGAGGATCGATTGAATGGGAGACTGCATAAAGTGTGTTCAGATGCTGCTAATGGCTGGTGTTTGTGTATTTGTGTAGTCTAGCAGAGATCAGGCAGACCTTTAATGAGTCATGTGCTTTCTACATACTGTACACACTCACACCTACACAACTGTTACCAGTTATGAAACATGCTATTTCTAAACTGACTGATGAGGAGGGGGGAAAGCACAAATGACTACACATAAAAATGTTGAATTAAAATACTTTTAACATTTTTTTTATCCAATTACTTTATAGAAATGTTTCAAAATTGTTTCAATGTTTTTCCTGAAATTCATTAAATGAAATGTTACTGAGCAATACATTAAATATGATGTGCTATGAAAAGTATCCTCTGAGCAATAAAATGTTTTTTAGTTTCTGAGAAACAGATCTGTTTTGTATGTCCTGCACCTAGAGAAGGAAACAACTGCAAAAGTCTTGCCTTCCACACAAAAAAAAACTACTGGAGTCATTTTTCAAAGGCAGTGCTGTATTTTGTCTTGACCCTAATTCTTATCTCCACCTTTTAAAAGATGAAAGATCTACGCAGGGCTATTCTGTCCTCCAGCGGTCAGCTGGGCATCAGAATAAAAGCATGAGGTCAAAGGTCAAGCACAGCAGACTGTAGCAGCATGTGGATGCTCCAGTGATATGAGGAGATAACAGACCATTTGACACAAACACACATTACTCTGAGAGAAAGAGAGGACACACTCATAACACAGCACTGTACAGTGTTTGATGATCATTCACAGCCCATTTCATATGCAAAGAGGTTAGCCAATCATAGCAGACCTCATTTGCAAACTTAAGTGAAAAGTTGTATTCACATTGACAATGATTACTTGAAGTCGTACTGTTGGTTGCACTGCAGTATGCAGCTTTAAAGGAAACAGATCATACACGTCATTGCTTGTTTGCATAAAGTTTAACTTTCGCTCATGTCCCTTCAAATCTCCAACTGTCATAGAAAATGCAAATTGCTTTTGGTCTGAACATCTATCTTCTCTGTTCTTTCTCTGCTCTTGTAGAAGCAGCTTTTGTCACTTTGCAAATATTGAGAGCAGAAGGGTATGTGTGTGTGTTTGTTGCCTGGAGGGTGATCTTGAAAACGCAGAAGAAAAGACCGCCGACAAATCAGCCATCAGGAACCATTTGTCACGGCAGATTTCAGACGGAGAATCACACATACACCTGCGCTCTCTAGAGAACTCTTACGTCATGGTGTGACCACAACACCCAGGCGCTGCTAAATCTGGACAAGCTCCCGGGCTTCAAGGCATCATGTGATTCCTTCAGGAGTCTGAAGGGGGCAGTGCTGTGATAACGGAGTCTCCAGCTCTGGGACAGTCTGACCTCTGTGTTAACAAAACGCCCACTCGCTTTCGTACATCCACGATCACGCACACACACCACAGAGAGTCGTCCAAGTCTCCGCACACCCTGAAGAGCAAACACTTTAGAGAAGAAACATATGCTCATCTCAGCTGAGTGTGGCATCCGCTCAGTTCCCTGGTGTGGCGGCTCCCAGAGCTTCATTCGCTCAGACAGATGTGAGAGAATCTGGAATAGAATTGAGGCTGATGTCTCCGTTTTACTTAATGATGATGCAAACTCATCCTGCAACGGAACGAAACTAGACAAGTCTCTCTGGTGTCAAACATGCAGACACTAGTCTCAGCTTCAGATTTGGACTGTCTGATGCATTTTGTGCACAAAAACTGTTTAAAAACTAATTGGCTGGATTTATTTCAAGGAGTAAGGTGCACATGTTTTCACTGGTCTACTGGAAAAACAAAACTGTGTGTACATGGCTGCTACAAGGGCTTCCAACACCAAATATCATTAAAATATCAAGAGTGTTGATGTGCACAAAAGCAAGTAAACAGGACATCCCTAAGCTAAATTGAGTTTATAAAATAATTCTCACTTTAGAAAGGAAATTGTGACCCCATGTCTACAAGCATTTTCCAATAATGTCTTTGCCGTTGTTTATAGATATTTATGATATATAACCTTTTTTTATTATTTTTTTTTTTATTTACTGTAGCAGACAGTAATGGATTTACATTAGCCAGTATCAGATATATAATTATTCATACTCGTTTCAATTTTCATTTCAATGTTAATTTATCCTTATATATATATATATATATATATATATATATATATATATATTTTTTTTTTTTTTTTTTTTTTTTTTTTTTGTGTGTGTGTATATATGTATATATATATCCACACACATACACAAGTATATACATACATACACAAAATGCATCATACACACAAAATAAACACTGGTGCATTTCACCCAATTTTACATTTAGATTACCTTTGCCAACTCAAAACAACAAACACAACAAAAATGAACAAAACACTAATAATTTAATAACACCTAATCTTTAGCAAATTGTATACTATACATTATATTTTGTGATGGCTAAATTCATTTGTAGCATATACAATGACATTATTAGTTGATATTAGTTTTTATTGTATTATTTTTAATTTTTTTGGACAAATTGTATAGTATTGTAATATCTGTGATTTACACACAATTCATTAGCAATGTACCGGTATCAGACATGCCTCCCGAAACAACAGTAGTTTAACTGCTATAACTTCATCTCTGACTGCGGTCATTTTGGCTTAAGTAGCTCTCCTTACAGGACAGAGGACATGGCCCACCACATGTTTCCAACAGGATGCTAATGATTTCTCCCCATGCAGTGTAATATAAGACTGATCGTCCTGTGTGTGTAATGGATCTCCATACCTCCATACCAGTGTTTATTAGATTCTCTCCCCCATCTGACTATACTTAAACTAAACTCCTGCTATTAGCCGTGTCGAGTGTGTGTTTTTGAGCGTCACTCTGATGTGCTTCAACAGATGTCAGCTTTTTCATATCTTAATGAGCACACTGGCCAACTTGTGTGTGTTTCCGTAAATGTGCTTGGGGGGCTGTTTAGCATTTAGCTCAATTTAAAAATCCCCAGATGAGGGAGAGAGAGAGAGTCAACGTTTTCAAATGGAGTCTGACAGCGCATGAACTTTAACTGCTGCCACTTTCCCTCTGCCTCATCTTATGCGAGCAAATTATGGTCTTCTAGAACTTTCTCTCTGATGTGCTCTACTTTAAATACGTCTAGCCGCCACCAGCACAATCTGCTTTTATGCAAAGATCACTTAATGTCTCATTGATTTCCCATTTTAATGGATTTAGTGCTGTGTGGCGAGGAGGAAACCTGGTAACTCGCGAGAGAAAGATGAACGTGGGCTGATTACTCTCGGATAGCAAGTGTGAGATGCATTTTTGTCAGAACGGCGCTCTGAAAACGGCTGCTAACAACTCTTACCACCTGCGCCAGTGGACAGAGTGCTGGAGTCAAAGCAGATTGTCTAAGGTGAAGAGAAAGTTGTGAAGGGAAAGCGAGAGAGAGGTGTTGATTGTCCTCAGAGCCACAGGGACGCTGTTGGTCTTAATAACCGTGGATGGCTGGTGCTTTAGCCATCTGCTGTGCTGAAGAGGCCCTGGGGGGTGAGCGCAGCAGGAATCATGGAGGTCATACTGCAGAACTGAGGGGTCAACAGCACTGAGGACAGAGCAGAACTGGTGTTGGGTTTCGTTTCGAACCACACACACTAATGCAAGAGGACATTTGAGATACTGTATGCATAGTCTTATAAAGCCAGACTCAATGGACCAAGTCTGGTCCTCTTTGCAGCTCCTTCTGACCAAGAACCATATGTAAAATGACAGACTGCTTTTTGTTATTAAAAACTGTCTAAATAAATTAAAAATGAAACAATTTAAATGCTAAGAGTGAATTTAAACATCACAACATTATAATGTCAAGTATTCAACCTTTTGGTCCAGTCCTTGAATATGATTGGTCCGTTTTAGAGTATTTGTGCAGTTTCTGATGGTTGCATTGTTATACCAGCAGATGGCGACAAGTAACTGCATTTATCAGTGAGTCATTTATTCAAGCAATTCACTCAAAAACACTGATTTATTTATGAATTAAATAAGTGGTCTTTATGAGTGAGTCACTGAATCATTCACGCAAACTATTTGTTCAAAACACGGAAGTCATTCAGGAACAAAACAAGTGAGTCTTTATGAGTGAGTCACTGAATCATTTACACAAATGATTTGTTCACAAACACTGATTCATTGAGGAACGAAACGAGTGACTACTTATGAGTGAGTCACTGAATCACTCAAGCAAATGATTCATTAAAACTAGGGCTGCACGATAAAGCGCATGCGATATTAATTGCGCATC